TGCGTTTCTACAAACGCTTCTTCAAGGTCTTCTGGCCTTGGCCGTATTCTTATCTCCACGAGCCGAACGCTCGGTGGATGTGCAAAGATTATGAGAGACAAGTATGAGGGAATAACAACTAGTGTTAGGACAGGTGTGGGAGAGATTGATAAATTTCATGTAAAAGTAGGATTGCACCAAGGCTTCCATCCATCCTTTGCCTCTACAGGTCAATTCGACCTCTGGCCTTCCTCAGCAAACCTCTCGATTCGTTAAGGTTTGTCACTCAAATCAACATGTATATACTTCGGAAAGATCTACTGATTCTACCCGGCACCAAGTGGTGAGAAAAATTGAAAGATCGCTAGAAAGAGAGTCTGATAAAATCACATTCCCAACCATTACCCAACAGCTTAATGTCAGGAATGTCCCACTGGCCGTTAGCGAATGGATATTCAGTATGCTCTCCAGTAGAGCAATAATCATAAATATAGAAGACATTTCAGTTAGAGGGAGGTTACGAGGGGGTGTCCACAGGGAAGGGTGCTATCACCACTCCTATGGAACATAGTTCTAGACACCCTGATTGACCAACTCAGCAGCAACGAGTTCTACACAATAGTCTATGCAGACGGCATTGCTGTCCTGCAAAGCGGTAAGTTTGAGAACACACTAGGTGAGAGATTACAAGATTATAAACCTAAGAAGACAGAGATGGTCCTCTTCACCAGAAAAAGAAACATCATGGGCTTAATACCTCCAGGGAGTCTAAACTTTTCTGAAGACGTGAAATACCTTTGTATACCCTCGACAGGAAGTTAACATGTAACTCACACTTATGATGGTAGAGCCAAAAGAGCATATATTATATTGCCTATGAGCAGTGTCGGCGAACGGTCGGTGGCACCTGGAGCCTTTCGTCCAGGGTGATCCTCTAGATCTACACTACTGTCATTAGGCCAATGTTACCTTGCTATAGGCAGTCTGGGACTCAGTTAAGCCTAAGTTTGTTTTTGACAAACCCTCCAAAATCGAAACAATAGAGCACAGGGATTCCAAAGTGGCAAATGCGTATTGCATATACACTGATGGCTCCAAAAGGGAAGGACACTAAGGATGCGGGATATACTCCAGATCACTTAACCTAAGAAAAAAGTTGTAGGAGAATGCACAATGGGTAATTTGAGGCCTAAGTGCTGTGGGACTTTACTCGCTCTCCCTACTCTACAGATAAGATCCCATCGGGATATTCTACCAGGATATCACATGGATATTTTACCCAGGATCTTTTTGTCAGGGAAATATTAAGAAATGTCATTCCAATACCATATTGGTGTTTATTGAGATCCAGATGCTGTGTATTGAATGTGTGGGAAGATACATTACCAAATTAATGATTTTGAAAAATGGAATAAAAATACTTTGCTGCAAAAGCTACCTATCTGCAAACTTTAACATAAGTAAATAATAAATACACCAGGAATATTGTTGTCGAATACGACAGCCAATGAGGCTAAGAATTGAATCTTTCAATCATGTTGTCAAGTGAGCAAAAAAAACAAAATATTTCTGATCAGATAGACAATAGATATATTTATAACTAACTTATTTAAAGAATATCTCATGTAAGTATTTCTAGTATTGCATAAAATTCTTAAACTTGTTTACTGCTGAAAATCTTTGTAAATGTCAGAACAGACTAAAATTTTAATCTAATAATACTATGTACATCTGTATAGTATTAACAGGCCTTTTAGGACCGTTACTGTATGGATAATTTCCATTGTTTTCTGTTCTTAACTGCCAGCTTCCAATCTATGATTCCCATCTCTCTGAGATGGATTGGATTGGTCTTCCATCACTACATCTCTCTATTTTTGCTTTGTCTTCCGCTCTTTTTTTTGCCTCAGGCACTTTCCAACCAATATTCTTGACTTGTCTATTACCTCTCATTCTTTCTATATATCTATGCCATTCTAGTCTTTTCCACCAAACATTCTGTGAAGTATCTTTCTTTCCCATGCTTCCAACCTATTCTGTATGGTCTTGTTCATAGTCCATATCTTATCAGCGTATAGCATTGTGGGCCTAATTATAGTTTTGTTTCCTCTTATTTTTGTATTACGAGATATATCTTTGGCCTTAATTATTTTGTTCATACCCACAGCACATATGTTGCTCTTGGTCAGTCTCAGATTAACTTATATGTCTGGTCAATAATGGTAACTAAGTACATATATTTTTTTGCTAAAGATTTCCATGTACTTGAATTTATTAATATTAACTTTTAGTCTCATTTTAGGGCTTTCCTGAATCAGTCTTTTTGCGATACTTCCCAGTTCTTTTCCATTTCTTGCAATAAGAGCCACATCATCAGCATACACTAAGCATTGGTGCTCTTTGTAGAAAAAAGTACCCGACCTATGTACCCCACTAGCCCTTACAATGTTTTCTAGAACTATATTGAATAGCAAGGTAGACAATGGGTCTCGTTCGCTAACACTTATTTTCACTTCAATTTCTTCTGAGACTGTACCATTGCATTCCACAGCACAAATGGTTTTTCTAATTGTCATTTTTACCAATCTTACTATTTTTTCTGATACTTGGAAGTCATTTAGAGTTTCTATTAATTTGTATCTCTCTATTGTAGGTACCATTGACAGCCATCTAATCAACAAAAAGTAGTTGTGCCAAAATGTTGTATTCATAGCAATTGATCAGGATTTGTTTTAATAGAAAATTTTGATGTGTTGTTGATCTTTCCTTGAAAAATCCTCACTAGTATTCTCCTAAATTCTTCTCCACATATATTTCTAGTCATTTTTTGATTGGTATGGGGAGCACTATGTATATTACCTCTAACAAGGAAATTCCTCTACAGTTTGCGATTTTGGACCTATCTCTCTTTTTATGTACAGGAATTATAATGGCCTCTCCTCTATATTTTAAGTTCTCTGTCACAATGCCGCTCTCCCTGGGGCTTTCTTGATTTTTCATATCTTTTATTATTTCTTCAATTTCTTCTCTTGTGGGATTTGGTATTTTGTCTACTACTATTTTGGGGTCCAGGGACATTATAATTTTTAACATTAGTCACTCTGCCATTTAGCAACTCTTCGAAATATTGTTTCCATCTTTCGCATACTTCGTCCACTATCAGTTTTCCTTGCTCATCTTTTACATTCATCTTTCTTCCCTGTTATCCAGTTTTAATGTATTTTACCTCTTTGTAGAAACTTTTTATTTTGTTTTTTTTTTCTTAATGTTATTTAATAAACTTTACTTTATCATCCATATACTTTCTTTTCTGTGCCCTTAGGATTTTCTTTACTGTTCTTCGCTTTTTGGGATTGCTTTCTAGATCATCTTGTTTTTGCATAGCAAACTTTTTAATCTCCAATCTGATCTTTTTTTAACTTGGCTCTACATTCATCATCAAAGCAGTGGTTTTTTCTAAATCTTCTTGTTCTTGGTATGTTCTTCGATATTGCTTCCTTTTTCTTGTTTCTCATATTCAAGAACCTTTATTGTATGTTACTCGTAGTAGGACCACAGTATGTGGTAGTACTGTCTTGTTTGGCGTAGCTTTCTTGTATATCCTTTGGTAACCCTGTACTACCTCAAATTTTCACAGCTCTTCAAAATTAAATTTAGGTTGCACATTCTTTTTCTGTTTTTGTTTTTTAATTATTGCATCTCTCATACTCAGAAATTCTAAACAAAAAATGATCAGAATCTATGTCTGCGCTTCTAAATGTTTTCTCATTTGTTATCAAATTAGAAAACTTCTCTTGTATTAAGATGTTGTCTATTTGGTTAGTTTCATTTAATCCTAGAATTTTTCATGTTCATTTATAATATTCTTTTGTCTGAAATGCATACTGATTATTTTCATCCTCTTTTCAATTGCAAATCTCATCAATCTTTGGCCATTATCATTTGTATTCATGTTTACTTTCGCCCCTGTTATGTTTTTTATATATATCTTCTCCTCCAACTTTTGTATTGGCATCAGCTATAATAATTTTAATATCTTGTTTGGGTATTTCTTCAGTCAATTACTCTAGTTCTTCATAACATCATAATAATAATATAATACACTTAATATAGTGCAATGTTTCAAAAGCATCACATTAATCAGTAAAAATCCTCTGTTTAAAATTCTTCTTTTAAGAAAATTTAAATGATATTGAAGTGTAACATCTCGTTAAAGAAAAACTGTGAAAATGATACTCAGCAAATCTTCAATTCTCAAACCATTACTTTTGTTCTATTTGGTGTTCCATTTAAATTTTCTCTTGTTATTTAATGTTAATTTAATAAACTTCATTTGTTAATTGTAATTTCAGCTTTTTATATTAGCTGTGGCAAACATTTCCTATTCTTTTATGAATTTAGTGTTTAACTGTGAATAAAAATCAAAGTTCAGTTACATCTCGGGCATCTGCAATCAGTTGGTTGTAAATGTAATAACTTTCAGAATATAATAAGCTTGAATTATCTATACTTGTTCTTTTATTAAGAGTTGTGTACTATCCATCATTTGTTTTAGTTGAATTTAAATAGTTGACTACAACAAAATGGTAAAATAAATATTAATTTAAAAATCTATATTATTACAGTAGTAACATACATAAATATATAATGTATTTAGTCTGCAATTATTTATAAAACGTTTCATTAAACAAAAGAAGAACTGTTGTTCTTAACAACTTCAACAGTGTTATTGTCTCTAGATTTATTTAAGTCCTGTAAATTGTTGCTTTCCGAAAACTACATACCTACATAGTTAAATGAAAACACTTTACGTGTGTGGGTATTTCGACGAAGAGAACATTTAAAAAAAATTAAAAATAATTCCCATTCCCACTAGCCTTACAAAACAAAGTTTAAGTATTTTTTAGTACACCGGAAAAAAAAAGAGATGCACTGTCATTAATAAAATATGATTTATTTATCGACGATCAGAAGAGACGCTTAGGTTGCAATATAATATAGTAGGTTAATTTGTTACTTACATTTTCCTGGTCGGGTGTTAAATTGGCATCCATATTTGTAAAAGACACACGTATTTTGTTTTTCTCTCACACTGTAAAGCCACTACATTCAGTATTAAAAACCTACTGTATGTAAATTCGATTATATTCTGATTTTCGATGACACAACGAAATTATTCGATTTTTCGATTTATTTTCTCGAGTTCAATATCGATTCACCAGATCCGTTCTCGTTGATTTCAATTTAGCAGTAGATAAAACAATCCGAATCCGAGCTTATTTTAGGCAACACCTTTACCAAACTTTTATTTAAAAATTCTGTATAAGGGGTATGTATATAAGATCCTTTCGGGCATCATCACAGAACTATTTCGGATTAAAAAGTCCATCATCAGTGTATTATTACCAGGTGTAAATATCTGGCTAAAAACTCTTAAAAAGTTACAAAATTTATTGTGTTACGTTTTTGTTGAAAATATTCCAGAAACTTTGTTCTCTAATGATGCGATGCCAGCAGAAACTTTCAAGATCGACGAGATGACAGCAGCATGTTTGTCTTCAAATATATAAGTTTCCGGGTCCAAACTCTCTTCCTCCAAAGCGTTCTTTAGTCGTTGGACTAAATCAGCCTTTTTTTTCCGGTAGAAGTTAATTCTGTCACGCGTTACAATTCAAACTTGACTCGATACAGTTATTCTTTTTAGACTGTTTACTGTTTATAATAAAAAGTTCTCTATATATATTTAATAACTAGTTACTGTATTTACTTAATAACTGTACCGAGTTCCCTAGAATCGGCCGGTGACACTTCCTGTACCCTCTCGAATGCTATGCCTCTTTTACAACTTCCAGTGGTATAAAAATGACAAGGGGCGGTTTTCTCTCCGCACCAGTAACTATGCGGATTGCAACAGACTAACACCTGGACTTCGGTGTCTTTAAAGATCTCCTCCACCATACTTCGGATAACCCTCCAATATAATTGGCGGTACTCCAACATTGGCATGGCTAACATTTGCACGTCGGACTCTAGTACGTGCTCTCTCAATTGAAGTAAGGCTTCCCATACATCTCGGTAGGTAGGTTGGTCACGGGCAGTGTCTTTTGTTACCAGGTAGAAAAGGTAACGTGATGCATCTTGGAGTTTCAAGGCTTTCCCGGAAGCTGGCACTTGGCATTGAAGTTCTGCAACTCGGCCGAACTTTCTTCGAAAGGCGGATACCAACCCTGGTGCGTCTTCGATACTGGCCAGGATAGTAAGGGCCAATGAATAGTCATCGGGAAGCGCGAGTAGATCTTGCTTTTCTTCAGTGGTAACACCATGTCTTGCTTTACCGGCACCTCTATAGGCCTTCATGAATTCCTCAAACGTGAGGTCAGACACATCTTGGACTCGGTTTACCTCCACTCCTTTATCTACGTCGTGGTCCCCCTTGAAAGACGCCAGCCGGTTATGGTGTACTATCATCGACTTTCCCCTCAGAATCTTGCTGATTCAGTAGATGACATAATTGATCTTCCCCATAATGAGGTATGGACCTTCCCAAAACTACTGCAACTTGGGAGAACAACCTTCTGGCTTCTTGGGATTATAGGGAACACTTTGTCGTTCTTCTTAAAGCACCCCTTTTCGGCTTGCGTATCGTACCGTTTCTTCATTCGGTCGCTAGCGATCTGAAGATGGGAATGGACCAACTCGTGTACATCGTCCATTCTTCTTCGTAATTTTCACCTGCTACATCTTCTCCAGGTCGACACCCAAACTCTAGATCACAAAGTAGTCGCAACTCTCGTCCGAATAGGACTCTGACTGGTGTCTGGCCTGTTGATTCGTTAACAGCAGATCCGTGGGCCATTGCGCAGAATGAAAGATATTGGTCCCAGTCTCGCTGATGATCGGACACCATCTTTGTCAAATACTTGCCAACTGTCTTATTCATCTGTTCTACCTTACCATCCGATTGCGGATGATATGCTGTAGGTCTTGTTTTCTTCATGCCTAGTCTATCACATATTCCTTGGAATAGATCGCTTTCGAAGATCCTTCCTTGGTCACTATGGATCTCCAAAGGCACTTCAAATCGGCTGATATATTCTTTGATCAACTTATCTGCAATGGTGGTGGCCTTCTGGTCTGGAAGTGCGTTAATCTCTACCCACTTAGTGAAGTAATCCATTACTATCAACATGTACTTGCCTCCATTTTCACTTTCTGAAAATGGTCCAGCAATGTCCAAAGCTATTCTTTCAAACGGGCTTCCAACATTATATTGTCTCATAGGAGCTCTCCTTTTTCGGTAATGCCCATTACTCGTAGCACAAATAGTACATTTCTTACACCAGTCCTTTACGTCGTCGGAACTGTTTATTCAATAAAACCGTTTCCGAATTCGCTGAAGGGTTTTCTTTACACTGAAATGCCCTCCTGATTGTATGTCGTGTAACTGACGAACTACTTCGGCTATTCTGCTCTTGAATCACCAACTGTCTTGTCTTGCCTGAACCGTCATCATTTTTCAGTACTCATTTGAGCAAGCTATCTTCCATGATAAATGAGTTCCACTGATCCATATACGCCTTAACTACTGAGCATAGGTTTGATATTTTTTGCCATGTTGGTCGACGGTTTTCCTCTTTCCATTTTCGAATTTTCCATACGACTGGATTTCTCTCTTGTTCTTCCCTTATCTTAGTAGGCGTCCAGTCGTCGTTGACCATCGTTGTTCTTAGCACTGCTGCTTCCTTGGATTCCGTTTTGTTGCAGTGGGAACACTCTGCTGGGCATGACCTTCTGGAAAGAGAATATTACTAAAACTTTACTAAAATATCCAAAGACTCCTGTCCTCCTTGAATCTGAGATAGCACGTCTCCAATTCCCACATTATTTGCATCTGTATCTAAGATGAACTCTCCTTCTGGTAGTGGATACGCTAAAATTGGTGCTGTGATTCAAGGTCTCAAAGGCATTTTTTCAGTCTGTATCCCAGCAGTGATCTCTTGCTTCCTCTATAAGTCGCGTTAATGGCTTAGCGATATCTGCAAACTTCTTAATAAACCTCCGGTAGTAAGTACATAGTCCAAGAAAACTTTTATGTTTGTCAGTTGGTTCTGGACATTCCTTAATGGAATCGATTTTTCCCTTATCCACGACAACTCCTTCTTTACCGACTATATGACCCAGATAATTGACTTTACCCTGAAATAGTTGGCACTTCGTGGGATTTAACATCAATTGGACAGCTTTAAGTTGATTAAAAACGTTTTCTAAATTCTTCAGATGATCTTTAAATATCTCCCCCAAGACGATTACGTCATCTAGATAAACCAGGCATCTTAACCCATCTTCCATAAGCCTCTCAAATGTCGCAGGAGCATTACAGAGTCCAAATGATATAACGTTCAATTGCCACAATCTAGATCCTGTGGTGAAGACTGTCTTCTCTTTACCTACTGGGTCCATTTCTACCTGCCAGTATCCAGACTTCAAATCCAAAGTAGAATACAATTTACTTCCAGCCAATGTGTCCAATGTATCGTCGATGCGAGGCAGATATTTGTTGGTTGTATCAATGTAAATCTACCCGTTCTACATCAATATCGTTCGATGGAATAAAGGTCCAAAATTATCAACAATAACTTCTATTCAAAAATTACAGGCGGTTTTAAAATGAAATAATTTTAAAAGAATATATCGGTGGCAAGTTCACAAATGTACTGATTTTACAATCTTTTAAATTAATATAAACATGCCACGGCTTCTCCGAAATAAAAATATAATCAAAGCGGGAAGTCGTTAAATTTAATTACACATTCTCGACGTGAGATATAAACATAAAACCACGTCGCCCTAATATTTAGAATAAACATCTTTTGAGTGCGTCTTATGCTTAATAAGCAATAATACTCGACTTAAGCCATAAATAATAGAATAATCTACTGAGTGTCTCTGACAATAATAACTATCGTTCTTGGTAACGTTGTTGAGCAAACAGTAATCCACACGGAACCTGGTCGTTCCGTCTTTCTTCTTAACCAGGACCACCGAAGAGACCCATGGGCTCGTAGAAGGTTCTATCACCCAGTCTTTCTTCACTTCCTGAACAATCGTTTTAGCTTCCTCGCTTATCACCTGTGGTAATCGTCGAGCTGTTTGACGAATTGGCTTAGCATTACCAGTATCAATTTTATACTTAACAACGGAAGTTCTTTCCGTCTTTCCTCCTTTCGGTACGAAAATATCACGATACCGCCTAATAAATTCCCTTAATTTTATTTCCTCCATCTGATTTAGAGACTGTCCAGGCAACTGCAACCATTTGGTCGAATTTGTCGTTGGAATTATCGTCTGACGGATTATGGATGTCACAGGTACACAAGTTGCTACTTTTGTATCTTTCTTGATGGTCACTGGGTTGTCATTGACATTGATAAGTCTCACAGGTATTTCTTTAGCCGAAATCACTAATTACTTTCCAATTATGATTCCTCAGTCAACCTCGCCGTCATGGTTCCAGGGCCCCATCATAACAGATGTCCCTTCGTCCACAATTCCCTTTAACCGCGCTACTATGATCGTTTCCATTTCGTTTCGATCATTACGTCCATTCCTAATATAACATCCTCTTCGATGTCAGTAACTATAACAGTATCGATGAACTTTTCTGCTCCAATTTCTAATTATACCTGGATTTTCCATGAATGTTGGCATTTTCACCTGTAGCGGTCCGAAATCGCAACCTCGTTGGTAACAGTTTCTTACGGCTGTTTATAACTGTCGGGCGTATAATTGTTCTGGTCGCCCCGGTATCCACCAACAACATATGCCTTTTACCATTTATTTCTCCATCTACATATACACTATCTTTGTACGTCGTGTATATATATACACGACATTTCAAAGAAGCTACTATCATGAGAGGATCTTTGAAAAAGTTCTGGGTCAAAGCTGCCCCCCTAAGGCCTAAGGGTGCTTACATGAACTTCGTACGTATCATATTTCGCCACAATTCCAGCATCTTATGGTCTTCGTTTTCTTGTATGTAATACTTTTCATTATATTAACGAGCTGGTTAAGTTTATCTTTATTTCCTTCCTCTTTTACAGTCCTAACTTTATTGTA